AACTAGTTTGGCTCTTTATCACAACTGAAGCAGTTTAGTTGTACTGCTGTACTCCAACTGAATAAAGCATAGAAGACAAGTCTTATGCTGCTGGGTAAAGCGTCTCCTGCAAACCTACCAGACCCCAAAACATTTCCTCTACGCACTTTCAAAGAAAAAGCTAACGGGGCAGGTTCCTTACATCTCGAAAGGTGACATTGTCAAAGCTCTGAATGTCGACACTCTCCTCTAGTCTGCCGCCTCTCGGTGTTCTCCACTTCTTCATACAAGACCTGGCACCGATTACTCCAATCATCACCAGGAGGATGGAGCACACCACGCCAGCTGCCAGCCCTGCCACTGAAATCTTGCTGTCACCTGGACATAAAAAGAGAGAACTATAATAGCTGATAATGTCATCTTGCTATCTGCCAGTGTCATAAGACAGAGGCATACGTTATGAGACGTATGGCTAGTCCGGGATGGTAGTGAAGACTCTCACTTTCCTCCTGGTCTGTTTCCTGTACGGGATCACAGCTTGAGCCAGCTGCGTACAAGATGTCGTCTACAGCAATGGTCCCTGAGGTCGGCCATGCTCCGCTTGTGGCTTCCAGCACGATCTGCAGAGAAGAAGGTATATTTGACCCGGATGGAAGACCAGGCTGATCAGCGTCAGGAAATTCCAATATGAACACAACACACAGTTAATTGGGGGAATCCATTGACACAGGATAGCAGTTCAGTATGAGGCTTATTAAAACCACGGCTGAATTGGGGGAGAATCACTCTTGGGGGAGAAATGGGTTCACTTGCTGACATTGTTGGGCAGCAAACTGGGGGGGAAAGCAAAAGGAATGTAAACCTATGACTGGCAGAACTCACAGCTACAGGAGACACTGATAAAAGCGAATGTTAAAAAGCCTCCTTCAAACAAAAATCATTTGGGTTGAACATAAAGCTGCCTCCTATTGACTCAGACTGTCGGTCCACATAGCTCAGTATTGTTTATCTTAATGTGCAATAGCTGTCCAAGGCCTTAGGCAGAGAAAGGTCTTCATAAACACCTCGAGTAGCAGTTTGTAAGCACCTGCTATCCTTTACCAGAAGATGCAGACAACTAAGCCTGGGGTCTTCTGCATGCAGATCCAGCATTGTGCCCCTCCCTACTACATGAAAGATGGATCTATGCATTAAACTCCCAAGACAATACAAGAACATAATGACCTAGGAACTGTATTTGATTCAGGCATCAGTGGCTATTAGCCACAAGGTATAGATAGGGGCTCTGGGGCAAGTGATGCTCTGTCTTCTTGGTGCTTGGGGGGTCAACAGTGGGAGGGCTTCTAATGTCCTGGCCCCACTGGTGGACCTCCTGATGGCACCTGGTATTTCTGGCCACTGTGTGACACAGAGTGTTGGACTGGATGAGCCTTTGGCCTGATCCAACATTGGCGTCTCTTATGTTCTTATGACTCTTGCACACTACACATGCAATTAACATCTGCAACGATAAACTCCCAAGTATAATGAATAATGTACTCTAAGAGAGAAGAGGTAAGATCAGTTCTTCCTTTACACTTCTATAGTTTCAGGTAGGTAGCCATATTAGGCTATAGTAAGCAGAATTAGAACCTTAGAAACCAACAAAATTTTCTTGGTTATATCCTTTCATGAGTCAAAGCTCACTTTGTCAGATATGAGTAAGAAGGAAGACTCATCAAGCCCTATATGCAGGTCAGAAGGTGGGATGGGTGTTGCCAAGAAGGGCCAGCTGGAGTCAGGAATCAGGACTCAGAGAATCAAGACAATGCAAAATGAAATCTGCTTGCTTAGAGCATGGAAGTGGGAAATGCAGAAAATTATCACATCTGTCATGAGGTAAGAATCCTACACACCTATTTGGTCCTGGGGAGGTCCATTGTCCTGAACTTGTTAATGAAATCTAGTTCAGCAATCTCGTTATAATCTCCCTTTGAAGCTTCTCTTCCCTTGGGAGATGTCTTCTTGGTAACACCACTGCCACCTTCTGAGCTGGATATGAAGGGCTAGTTCTTATGATTCTGACAATGTGAGCTTTGACTACACAAAACCTTATACTCTGGAAAATTTGTTGGAAGCTAAGGTGCTACTGCAAGGGAAGGCAGCATGGTATAGCCCAATCTCATCAGATCTTGGAACCTAAACAGAACTGTTATTTGGATGGGGGACCCACCAAGGGAGACTCTGCAGAAGAAAGACCCTTGCTGGAATCTGTATAAATGAGCTGCAACTTAATGGCTTTTACATACGTAAGGTGCTACGTGGCTCGAATTTTGTTCTGTACACTTTGGAAACGTCTTGTTATGCTAAACCTCTTAGAAGTCAAACTGTTTTTATGAGAAGTCACCCACATAGCCCTATTATCATCCTTTCACTACTGCACCCCTCTGCTCCTTGTAGTGGCTGCCAGCAGTACAGTCCCAAAGTATTATTTTTCCTTATGGTTTCTGTGCACACATGATATTATAAGGAAACATGGCAGCCAGGAGAAGATGTCTCAATGGCCACCATAGATGCAGAGGCATAGGACTAGAGGGGACATCCTTGCCGTGTTGGGAATCCAGACAATCTAGCCAATTTCTCCAGCTTTACCTGGAATTCTGTGAGGCTCGTCACAAATAAAGTTTGGTTCATCCAGGACCGGCCTTGATGTCCAGTGGCACTCCACACCGTTCGTTCACCTTGCAGGCTAAAGAGCTTCACCCTGAGCTGTGCTTGGGCTAGCGACACAGAACATGGAAGGGAAGGGTCAGAGGAAGACAGAGGAAGAGGGAATTAGATAGGCATATGGAGCAGAGGTCCATCAGTGGCTATTAGCCACAAGGTATAGATAGGGGCTCTGGGGCAAGTGATGCTCTGTCTTCTTGGTGCTTGGGGGGGGTGCAACAGTGGGAGGGCTTCTAATGTCCTGGCCCCACTGGTGGACCTCCTGATGGCACCTGGTATTTTTGGCCACTGTGTGACAGAGTGTTTGACTAGATGGGCCTTTGGCCTGATCCAGCATTGGCATCTCTTATGTTCTTATGTTCTCAGTTCCCTGAGTCTTGCATTTCACAGGATGCCAGCCCCCCCCCCCCATTCTCATATAAATACCATGCTTTCCAACTCTTCTATATTGCCAGTTATTTTACAGATTTGCCAAGTCGCTCATTTCAGGAAGAGCTCCCTGTTTCCACCTTCGAAAACTGATCTCTTAAATGTGTGTGTACTCCAGATTGTTCGCTCAGCAACGTTAATGTCAAGCAAGATAAAGCCAGTATAGTATAGTGGTTATTGTCAGGCAGAATGTGCCACAGCTCAGTCAGTATCAGGAGTTAGGCAGAGCATGCATGTTACTCCCATTCTGCAGTCATTCCATTGCCTGCCCATTAGTTACCAGGCTCAATTCAAGGTACTGACTGTCACAGACAAAGCCCCATGGGGCCTTGGTTCCTCATATCTGCAGGACTGCCTCTCCCCCTATACTCCGCCACAACAGCTTTGCTTATTTGAGCTGGGCCTTCTGCAGTGCCACCGTGCAAATGGGGAAAATCAACAGTTGCCTCTACACGAGCATTCTCAGTTGTGGTCCCCACCTCATGGAATGGTGTGCCTGATGAGGTCAGAAAGTTTCCCATTCCCTGTCAGATCTTAGAAGCTAAGCAGGGCCAACCCTGGCAAGTAAATGGGAGGGAAACCTCCAAGGAATACTAGAGCTCGGCACAGAGGCAGGCTATCAAGCCATCTCTCTGAAAAACGTCTAAGACCCCAGTAGGGGTCACCAGAAGTCGCCATGACTTTCAAGCACATACACACACGCGCGCACACACATGCACACACAAATACACGAAAAAGAAAGTTTCCGATTCTCCTGGCATTCCACAAACTATGCAAACTTAACTATTCAGGAAAGCATTTTTACATATGTAACAGGCTGGACTGTAATTAAATGATTCAGAATGATGCTTTAATAAAGGGATAGTGTTACCGATGCAACAAACATGAAATTGAGCAAATCCCAGAGGACAGGGGAAGACAGACGGGACCGGCGTGACGTGCTCCATGGATTTAGGGTCATTAAGAGTCGGCCTTGACCATGCGATTGAACAACAAACAATGACTGTAGACTATACTACTTTGTATAGTATGCACTGTGGCTGTATTTATGACCCTACTATGTAATTTTTGCATTATCAAACGTGTCATATTGATATTTATGCTTTGTTTCAGCTCTGTTCTCAGATTTCTACTTGGTTTCAGAATTCAGCAATCCTAATCCTATTGCATTGCTTACTGGATGTCCCATCCTGTTAACCGTACTGACACTCTGTAATCCACCTTGAGTCTCAGTGAGAAATAAATAAATAGGATCTGTGAGACCAAGATTTGTATCTCCCCTCTACCACAGACGCTCACTCACTCAGTGACCTTGGGTGAGACACCCTCTCTCAGCCTAACCTACCTCACGGGGTGGTGATGGTGGTGGTGGCTGGGATAACACAGAGGAGAGGGAATGGTAGTGTAATCCTCTTTGGGTCCCCATTGGGGAGAAAAGAAGACGATAAATGGCCTGGGAGCCAAGCGGGACACATCGGCACAAAGCGCTTTGAAAACCAGCTCAGCTTTTGTGCAAGCTCAGCACTGCATTCCTCACGGCAACTTTGCCAAAGCCAAGCAGCTCGGTGGCTCAGATCTGTTTTAATTAACATCTTTTAATATGTTTGTTTTTATTATTATTTTGTAAGCCACCTTGGGCAGGTTCCCGGAGAGGCAACATAAAAAATTTCTAAATAAGTATGAAGAGAATTAAATAGGACCTCATCAAGAGATGTGAGGATGATGGAGCTCTGGCACTGATTGGCTCAGCAGCCCTGAGGTCACAGAAGTCAGACAGATGGCATTCTCAAACTGCCTCCTATTGGCTGAGAGCCGCACAGATCATAGAGAGGGACAGGGTACAAAGAACCAATTAGGGAAGGAGAAGGCAGGAAAGTAAGATGAGTTTAAGGGAGGGGGAGCCCTGTAGGGAGGGAGGGGAAGAGGAGAGGTCAAGAGGAACATCCACAGAGAAAAGGAGAAGAGAGGAAGAGGGCCTGGAGCAGAAGAGGTGTGAAGGGAGCCTGAATCTCCAGTGATATTACTGTGGTATCTGCACAGGCATGGCTTCAGTAACAGTCTCCCTCTTGCTGCCTGAAATGAGATGCTTTGATCAAAGTTAGGGTAGGGTTTTCTTTCCCCATCCCCCTCCACACTTCCTTGAAAGCCTCTACTTCTCTCAAATTAGGAGAGTTGCTTGGTGCTTGGGGGGGGGGGTCAACAGTGGGAGGGCTTCTAATGTTCTGGCCCCACTGGTGGACCTTCTGATGGCACTGGTATTTCTGGCCACTGTGTGATACAGAGTGTTGGACTGGATGGGCCTTTGGCCTGATCCAACATTGGCATCTCTTATGTTCTTATGAGAGTTGCCACAGAGTCAGCAAGATTTTGGAAAGGTCTTCCCCGTTCCTTGCAACACTCCACCTGCTAGAGCCGACTTTCACTTACAGCTTTGTTCCCTGAAATCCATGTGGTATCGGAATTGGAGGCAGGAGCCAGTGGTAGCTGGAAGGTGTTCGCTTACGAGGCCAGCCGCGTTTCTGCCCATCCCCAGCACCCCGATGTCAACGTAAGCATAGTGACCTGAGGGAAAACGTTGGGCTTGAGACCAGAAATGTCAGCCCTCCCAAGCCCGGCATGCCATCACCCCACCCCACTTCGCCTCTGACTTATTTTATTCAAATCAGGTTCATTTTGCTGGAAGCTTCCTACCATTATAACCTATCATAAATAATTTTATATATTTTGAAAAATATTATTACAATAATTTCTTCATACATATTAATCATCATAGTCACAATTCATAATATAAGAGATCAAAATGTCAAATATCATCTCCATAGATTCTCAAAAGATATAGTACAACCTTATAATATATACTAGTCCTCCTCTGTAAAAAAGTTTCAAAAGGGAGGACTCCTTAAATTCTCTTTACATGTGCTCTGTCTTCCTCCAACAGAGGTCCAGATGTCCTTCTGTTTCAGAATCTTCCTCAGGGAGTCCAACAATAATTTTCAGCACAAGGTTGCTAAATACCAAAGTTTTAATCCAAAATTCTCTTTCAATGAATGCTGCAAAAAGTTTTTTGATGAGCTACAAGCCTCCTCCAAATTGTTGTATGTTGGTTAGCCCTCCCAAGCCTGCATGCCATCACCCCACCCCACTTCGCCTCTGACTTATTTTATTCAAACCAGGTTCATTTTGCTGGAAGCTTCCTACCCACCAAGGCTAACAGCAACTAAAGTAAGCTTTGCAGGAACTGGAGCAGCAAGCCTTGCAAAACCCGAGCTGCTGGAAAGGAACTGTGGCTGTTTGTGTAGACTTTAGCTCCTCTGCAAATCAATGTGTTTGCCAGCAGTTAAGTAACTTATTGGGAATTAACTTAAGCTGTCCAAGAGCCGAGTGTGTAAGATCCAAAAGCAAATCAAGGAAGCCTGACTGAACCACAGCCACGAGCTCAAACTTTCTGCTGGGCAGCGTACAGCTGACTGTCCTTCTTCATGGCTTGGCACAGCAGTGGGACCTTCACTGAACACAGCCTGGTAACAGAGCCAAAGTCTTACCTGCTTCACTCCCAAGGGTGTGGTCCTCCTTGGGGGATGGGGACTGCAGAGGGGTGGCCCCTTCCTTCCAGTCCCAGCTGTACCAGTCTCCACGGGGTTTGCTCCATCCGCACATGCCGGACTCAAAATCACAAGAGCCTGGCCAAGAGAACACCACTGTGAACATTCATGTTGCCCACCAAAGGGTTTCAAGCACCCTAAAGGTTAGGGATGCCAACTTCAACGTGGCGGCTGGAGATCTTCCACTAGCGCAACATCTCCAGGTCACAGAGATCAGCTCCCTAAAGAAAATGGCCGCTTTGGAAGGTGGACTCTATGGCCTTATGCCCCACTGAAGCCCCTTCCCCTCCCCAAACCCCACCCCTCTCAGGCTCCACCCCTAAAATGTCCAGGTAGTTCCCATCCCAGAGTTGGCAACCCTACTAAAGGCTGAGCAGTTACTCCCCAGGCAGAGAGAAGGGCTTGAGCAGCAGGAGCAGAAACTATGTTATCCAGGGCGTTTTTGGTAGAAAAAGCCCAGCAGGAACTCATTAGCATAATAGGCCACACCCAACAGCAGAAACTCATTAGCATATTAGACCACACCCCCATGCCTTCCCTTGGCTTGGGTGTAGTGGGCGTGGCCAACTCTGAAGCCAGCCGGAACTCCGTTCCTGTGCGTTCCTGTCCAAAAATAGCCCTGATTACCCTTTCCCAGCTTCTGATTACTAACACTCTTGTCATTAGTAGTTGCATAATGTTCAAGCTGCTCCATATGCAGAATCTTGCTGCCACCCTTACAACATTGTAAAGTAGAATTGTTCTATCGTGCAATATTTCCCCAGCTTCTGATTACTAACACTCTTGTCATTAGTAGTTGCATAATGTTCAAGCTCCTCCAGATGCAGGATCTTGCTGCCATCCTTACAACATTGTAAGGTAGAATTGTTCTATTGTGCAATATTTCTAATTTTGACAAGTAATACTTTTCTTGCAAGGGGGGGTTGTAGCTGCTCCATAATGTTCCCCATGTGACTCCGAAAGGTACACGAGGTCTCCAGTCACCCTACTGGAAGCCCAGAACAGTGATGGGGGAATCCCACTGTCACCTGATTTAGGGCAGGTCCCTTCCTTCACATGAAAGTCATCGATGGCGATGTAGGAGGAGGAGCCTCCTCCAGCACCTTCTGCCACAAACACCACCTGTTAAAAGGAGATATAAGCCAGGGGGAGGCTGAAAAACCTGAAAATTAAGGATGTGATGGGGGGGAACAAGGAAGTAGCTAACCATGCTTGTTGGCAAGGCATTGCATTGCCAGTGCCAAAAAAACAAAGCTGAATTCTTTATCAACAAAAGCCATTTGTGCAAACTACATTTTTTTTACGTTTGTGTGGCACTAAAGACCTCCCCCTCTATCAATGAAAAAAAAACCCTTAGCTCCCACTACCCTTCTAAGCACATCCAGCTTTGGGGATTTCACTGGGCATTCCCCAGAGGACAAAGACTTTGGGCAAGTCCATACACGAGATCAATTCAGTCACTGTGCCAAACAACGGTTTACACTACCCACTGTTCAGAACCTAAAGCACAGTTTGAGCTTCCAAACATACAAGTGACAACCCACAGCTTAGAGCTGCTTGTCAGCTTTTGTTCTCCAACCTCCCAGGCACACCCATTTGCTTTTACCTCCTTGGCACAACGGTTTACACTACCCACTGTTCAGAATCTAAAGCATACAACTGACAACCCACAGCTTAGAGCTGCTTGTCGGCTTTTGTTTTCCAACCTCCCAGGCGCACCCATTTGCTTTTACCTCCTTGGTACTACAGCCTCTGGGGGCAGAGTGGTGAAAGTTGTAAGGGTTTGCCAGTCCAGATAGCCCACAAAACCATGGGGACCAGGAGCCCACAGGACAGGCCAAAGGGGAGGGGGATCTCTCCTGCTTGCCCTTGCTTGTGGGATTCCTGAAGCCATCTGACTGGCCTTACCCGCCATTCATCTTGGACCTGGACACTGAAGTTACTATAGTGCCACGCCTCCTCTTGCATTGCGTTGATGCTCAGCATCTTCCTTTGTGTGCCCCTCTCCTCCACATGCACAGTCAAGGACCCTAGCAAGAAAAGTTACAGGATTAGGGTTGTCCATCAGCAGCAACAACACACTAATCAGGGCCTCCTGGAAATGCTAACGGTATGACCTTGGTGCAAAATTCAAGCTATGATCTTGATGGACAACCCAAACTTGGCCATCAGGTCTGGAGATCTACTTTTTATTTACCTGAAAGACTCAAGTTTGTAGTCCTCATGTTTATAAAGGACCAAAAACCAACAAAAAGTGTGAGGGTTCTGCTTAAAATGTTTAGAAGGGACACTCATTTTCCCAGTTATGGTAAGTATCACAGGGGCAAAGAACCTCCTTCCTTCCACCAAACTGAGATTGCAGGAGCCTATAGCCAGTGTCAATGGCTGCTTGTGTAGGCACACAATCCACATGATACACCCAGTCCTGCTGACAGCAAACCCACGGAAAACTCCACAAAAGCTACTAACTCAAAATATTATTAGCCTCCTGCCCACAAAGACCATGCTGGTGAACAATTCGTGGCTCACAAATGACCAACAAAAAAGAGCAGCGCCTCTTCCCTGGAAAGAAGTTTTCCCTTGTTTGGTCATTTATTGTTTTCTCTGCCCCACTTTTCCCCCCAGTGGGGATGCAAACAGGTGGAGAAAGACTGGCCCAGGGTCACCCAAGGAGCTTACATGACAGAAAGGGGATTCAGAGGTTTAGTGCCTCAATCACCATGGCTGGTAGCCATTGACACTCATCCTCCAATCCCCTTTTAAAGCTATTTATTCCTGTGGTGAACACTACATCCTCTGGCTGTGAATTTCACATTTTAATCACTTTCTGTGTAAAGTGTTATTTCCTTTGGTCCATTCTGAACCTACTGGTCATCAGCTTCACTGGATGCCCTCAAGCGCTGGTATTTTGGGAGAAAAATGTCCCCCTCCAAAGTGCTGCCCACTAGCATTAAGGCTAGCCAGATCAAGCCCCCGTTTCTGCAAATCCCACCTCGCCCCTTCCAAGGAAGGGAGAGGCAGACTAGCCATGCTCACCTGGGTCACTGCTGTTCAGGTAATACCAGAACATCACACAATGGGTGTGAAGCAGAGATGGGAAGGCTGGGGACTGTAAAGTGGCCTTTTGCCCCAGTGGCAAGGTGTTCGCGCTGCAGTTGATGATCATGTAATGTCCTGGCAAGGGGAGTTGAAAAACACAATACTATCTGAAAAAATTACTTTGGCACACCATTTTAGACATGTGTTAGAGATTTTATATATCTATCTGTATCTCTGTCTCACTCACTCTCTCTCTATATATATATACATACATATTTACAAAAAATTAAGTTCTGTTAATTTAAACTGTAATACAGCAGTCTGATAATGGGTAAAGAACAGGTGTATGGTCATTTGAATGGATACCCCTGTAGTCAGCTAGAAGAATCTGGAGAACAGAAGCAGGAACTGGAGAACAGAGCAGTTGAAGAATGAAAATCTGGAGCACACCGGGTGAGGCTGAAGAAAGGGGAGTGATGAAGTCTAGGAAGCTAGAAAGACAACAGCCTATAGTGTCAGAAGATAATCCAAAACAGAAATGTTTACAGTGACCAGTTTCACCGTTAGAGCATCAAGATCTGCTCTAACTAATCTAGAGGGCTGAGCAACCAGAGCAGAGAATCCATCTACTCGCTCATGTTGCTAGAACAGATGCAAGATGGACTGTTTTGTGCTTTGTTCATAATAAACAAACATTTCCTTTTAAAGAAACTTTGGTTATAGGATCAGGTTAACTTCTTAGCCCATTACCAACTTTGCAGGTAGAAGTCAAGAAACGGTTTGTCATGAAACTGGGATTTCATTATAAGCATGAGTGAAGTTGCTACTGCATACTCAGAGGTACAGTTTAATAGCAGCAGAATGGAGGTAGAGATAGCTGGTGGGAGTCAGTGGGAGGCCCTACCTGGATCTGCTACCCAGGCAAAGGCACAGGTAGCAAAGTGAGGGGCTGCTGCCCATTTTGCCACACAGCTCGTTGGGGAGGGGACGGAAAAGAAAGCCTGTAACCAACCCCCCAAAAAACAGAACCTGATGAAAAAATATATAAGGCAGAACAAGCCAGTGGCTTAACACAAAATGTGCCATAAAAATCTAAATAAATATCCTAGAAAACAAACCAAAAATATCTCAAGGTAGTCATAACATGTACAAAACCTTCACTTCAGAGGCATAGATCAGGAGACCAAAGCATTTCAGCGCCAAATGCCTCACCAGTGGTCAATCCAATACTAATAATGTTATAATACAAAGCAGAGATTTCTCATGTATCAACCACAAGTATTTTAAAAAAATTTATAGAAACCACTGCCCGTCAGAGCAAACAATACCACAATGAAGGGACCAATAAGTCTGACTCGGTGTAAGACAGCTTCTTATGGGAAAGGGCTGCGACTCAGCGGCAAATGTCATGGTCCCAGGTTCAATCTCCGTCATCTCTAGTTCAAGGGTCTCAGGTAGAAGGAAAGGCCTTTTTCTGCCCGAGATCCTGGAGAACTACTTCCAGTAAAAGGAGACAACAAGGGGCCAGATGGACCAATGCTTGGACTTGGGGTAAGACAGCTTCATAAGTTGAGATATTGATGCATTACCTTTTGGTGTGCCCAGGGTGTGGTCTGTCAGAGGGCCCTGTCCTCCTGTGCCAGTCTGCCGTATCCATGGGTGCTGCTTGGTACCCAAAAACCCACAGTCATTGGTCTCAAAGAAGCAATGCTTTTGCGCACTGCAGTCTCCAAGCGTCACTGTGATATCATCCAGAGCCATTGCACCCAAGAACCCATCCCGGTTGGCTTCGAAGATCACCTGCAGAAGAAGCAAAGCAGATGACCAAGCGCCTCCTCCTTGCAAGAGGCTCTTCAGCACACCTGGAACTGTGTGCATGAGAAGAGTGTATACTAATGGATGTGGAATTCTGGCAAAATATAAATCACAAAAGCCAAGCTTCCTGTGACCTTAAGCCTGCCCATTGCTGAGGGGGGAGGGGGAAACAGAATTATTCAAATATATGCAGATATGCTTTATTTACTTCATCAATCTGGATTGTGGCATACTGTTTTTCGTGGCACCAGAACTGGAGTTATTTATTCTTCTAACTACGGGAACTTGAATTCCTGACTAATCATCCACTAGCTGGTTTCCGAACATTTAAAGAGGCATTTCCTACCTGTTTTGGTGTAACTATGCAATTGTAAGAACTAGAAACTAAAAGTTTTTTTAAAAAAAAAATCTGGGATTTTCCAGGTTGCCGAATAGTATATTTCAACCTCGTGCAACACAACATTACAGAATATGTGCGGTCCTACCTTGTCCCATTATAAGCAGCTCCAGTGATTGGCTCCATCTTTCCCACAGGTGTGTGCAGGTGCCCGGCTGACAGGGCAGGAAGCGCTCACCTGATAATTCTGAGCAGGCTGGTGGGGGATGCTGGAGAGTCCCCGGTGCCACACAGCACCATGGCTCCCTGTTCTGGTCCACAGGACTTGCTCTGGTTCTTCACTGCGCTTCACCTTCAGGTTTAGAGTCCCTGCAAGACAAACAAAAGGATGCCTGAACAGGAACATTGCAAGCTGGTTCTTCCCAGGTGGAGGATTGCCTCAGCCTGCCAGGGATCATCTTACCGATCTGGGGACCATCCATGCGGTACCAGAAAGAAAGGCACTGCCCCTGATCAGCAGGGGCTTGGAGGGTAGAAACCAGACGAGCACTGAAACCGAGAGAGCTGCGGACAGAAGGATCCACCAAGAGGTAATGGCCTGTAAAGAGACATTCTCTGAGCTTGGTTTGTGAAACAGAAACAAAAGTTCGCACAAATTCAAACTCTAACAACATTTCTGAATTGTAGTTTCAGGACTTTTCAAATGCTGCATTTAGATATTGGCTTTGGGGATATTTTTTAGACAATTAAGCTTTTCTAGTTAATTTTAAGGCCACAGTACCAACTTGCTTCTATATTTTTTAAATAAGAAATTGCAAGGGGAGGGGTTAAGCAACTGGGAGTTGTCCCAACCCAAATCTCTGCCGCAAGGATGCAATAAATTCTCAAGGCCTTGCGCTGGCCTATTTCCCCTCCTAAGTTTGCATTCCTTCCCTCCATCTTTAAGTGATGCTCAACTACCTTTAACATTCTGCGCCTCTTGGAGGGTAGTAAGCATGCTCAGTCCTCATCAAGCTGTTCTGTTCTTTTAATTTACAAAGTAATCTTTTTCTGGATTGCTGGGGAATCCCTGAGTATACATATAAACTGCACCATTTTCTGGGTTACCTGCTTTACTACCTGGCCAATAGGCATTCATCCATAAATGCTGCTATTCATAGCAGTACTTTGCATTTAGACAGGACTTCCAGGTGCTCAAAGCACTCCACTGACATTCACTTCCTGCAGTTCTTATAATAACCCTCTACAGTAAGTAAATATTATTATCCTCATATTACAGATGGGGGGGAAGAGTGGCTTGCCTAAGGTCAGCAAGTGAATTTGTGGCAGAGGCAAACTGAGAGGCAATGCAGAGCAGTGACTAGATTGTCAAAGTAGGACTGGGGAGGTAAAGGTAAAGGTAAAGGTTTCCCTTGCTCGAAAGCCAGTCGAATCTGACTCTAGGGGGTGGTGCTCATCTCTGTTTCCAAGCCGAAGAGCCAGAGCTGCCCAAAGACTTTTTCCGTGGTCATGACTAAACGTTGAGGCACACGGAATGCTGTTACCTTCCCACCGAAGCAGTACCTATCTACTTGCAATTTCTTGCTTTCGAATTGCTAGGTTGGCAGGAGCTGGGGCCAGAGACAATTGAATTGATTGAATTCCAAGGGTTAATCACTCTTTGGGTGAAGAAGTACTTCCTTTTATCCGTTCTAACCCAACCGCTCAGCAATTTCATGGAGTGCCCACAGATTTCATGGAGATCTGTGTTCAAATCACCACAGTGCTACTGACTCACAGCGACCCTCTGAAATAATGTCTTCCTAAACATCTTATCATAAACAGCCGTTCTCAGGTCTTGCAAACTGAGGGCCGTGGCTTCCTTGACTGAGTCATCCATCTCATGCTGGGTCTTCCTCTTTTCCTGCTACCAGTTACTCTCAGGGAGAATAAAACAGAAGGAGTGAGAACCGTGTACACTGCCCTAAGCTCCTCAAAGGAATGGCAGGATGAAAATGTAAGAAGAAGAAGAAGAGAGAAGAGATTGGATTTATACCCTGCCCTTCACTACCCAAAGGTGTCTCAGAGCGGCTTACAAACTCCTTTCCCTCCCCCTCCCCACAACAGACACCCTGAGAGGTGGGTGGGGCTGAGAGAACTCTGACACAAACTGCTCTTTCTGAAGGACAGCTGTGCCAGAGCTTGTGATTGACCCAAGGTCACATCAGCAGGTGCAAGTGGAGGAGTGGGGACTCAAACCCGGTTCTCCCAGATTAGAGTCCACGCACTTAACCACTACACCAAACTGTAACAAACATTCAGTCTTTGAACTGCGGCTTTCTGATTCACAGTTCTGTCTCTGGTGCATACCAGCTTCTCTTTATGTCTTGGATTTACCCCCCCCCAAAAAAAATCTTCAGCTCAGAGTATCTGCAACAGGGAACTACTGGGAAAAGAATAACATCCAGTTCTGATTTTGGCTGCCTATACTGTACCTGTTCTCAGCTTAAAATTGTATGGGTTAAAATCCTGAACCTGCAAATGGGGCCCAGAATGTCACAAGGAGCCAGCATAGCAGAGTACAGGCCCTGTTGCTACCTGCGCCGGTTGTGTGGTCCATCCCTCCCTCACGTCGCTCCCATTCAAAGCCATCACTCTGTTCAATGAACCAGTGGCACCAGTCTGTTTCAAAGTTGCAGGACAGTCCTGCGGAGAGAAAGAGAGAGAATGCAAGCAAAGCATTTAGAGTATCAGAAGAGCCCTGCAGGATTGCTCCAAAGGTCCAACTCATCCAGCGTCCTGTTTCCCACAGTGGCCAACCAGCTGTCCGAATGCCTACAGGATAAGCTCAGAGAACAAAGCCTCCCTTTATTGCAGCCCTGAAGCAATTGGTATTCAGAGATATACTGCCTCTGAATATTGAGGTTCCACTGAGCCACCATGACCAATTAGCATGGTTGGATGCATCCTCCTCCATGGTTTTGTCTAAAGCTCTCTTAAAAACATCTCAGCTAGCATCCATGACCACACCTTGTGGTGGTGAGTTCCATAAAGAGAACCAAAGGACGTCTGTCTGGATTTTTTCTCAGGTCATCACACCCTGGGGGGAAAGAAGTCTTTAAAAACTGTGTTGAATCAGGGTGCAAAGATCCATGCCCACAGAAATAAGTCCACTGAGCTCGATATAATGAATCACGTTCTAGCATCTACCCGAAAGCAATAGTATAACAGGGTAGAACGCCTGCTGCCTTCCCCCTAGGGCAAGAGCACAAAACAAGCATTAAGACATTCGTCGATCTATGAGCAGTTATTAACAGAAAATTGAATTGCCTAATTCTGAAACAACTTTGCAGCATGGAGTGGTTAAGCTCCTTTCCAGTGAGTAGATGAAAGGCACGCATGCTACCACATACCAAGGGACCCAGAAGGGCCCGGCCCAGCCTTTGACTGCTGCCATGGTCCAGATGGAAAGAGGCAGCAGCCAAATAACGGCTGGTGGTTGTTCGGTGGCGGATCAGCAGTTGGCCTCTCCTCCTGCGGCCCCAAGGCCCTCAGAGGTTGCCCAATAATGCCAGCCCCTGAAGCCAGACCTGCCCCCAAAGACACAGACCCTCCACACCAGCCCAGCATAATCCAAAACCACAGATTGCTGCAAACAGAGAACAGGGAGGATCAAAGCACCGTACCTGACGATAGCACCTGGCTGGCACCACACTGCACAAACGTGATATTCCTGACAGAGAGAAGGGGATTCCTGGTCCCTCTGAGGTTCTCCAGACCCAGCAGCTCAAGCTTAGAAAGAGACACACAGAGGTGGGACAGGGTTTTACGTAGCAAGACTGTTACCTCGTTGCAGAAAGCTGCAGCACGGGACTGAAATCTGCTAGAGATGCCCAACATGCAGCAAGGAGAGAAGCCAGGCCCAATTCATTTCTGCCAGTTGCTCAGGCATTGGTAAGCAGTCATTCCCAGACGGCGTGCCACAGCAGAACAACTAGTGTGCTGCAAGAGGTGCATTTATTAAATAACTTGTGGTTACATGCAGTGTTCCCTCTAAGCTGAGTTAGTGTGAGCTAGATCACAGTATTTTAGCCTCCAGCTCACACATTTTTGTCTCAGCTCAGGAAGGATGGCTCCAGAGCAAACTAATTTATGCAGTAGCCACATTGCTTGCTCACAACTTTCATGCCAGCAGCTCACAAAGTAGAATTGTTGCTCACAAGACTCCACAACTTAGAGGGATCATTGGTTACGTGTCATGCACTCCCGACTGGCGTGCGAGGGCAGAACACATCCTACCTGGAAGGGCCTGCTTCTCACGCCAAGAAACACCGTGACCTGTGCCCGCACCGCAGTGCCATTTCCCGAAGCAGACCACACTCTCTGGTGAGTTCCCAGGCTCTTGTCTGCAACAGCCAGTGCCAGAAACCCTAGGAAATAAGAACGGAGAGAGACTGGACTCGTAACCACTTCACTCACACAACCAGCTGGACGGATCATCCTCTATCACTGGCCCCTCTGGCAAAAGGCAGCACAGGCCATACTCCTGCTGATAGGAAAGCCGGTAAGACTGAAGGTAATGCAACCAAGTGGATACCTTGAGGTCCAATGGTGAAGTCCATCTCCAGAGCGCAGGCCAACCCCGAGGGACCCAATACAGGGGTGACGGCCCTAGCCAGTGAGAACATCTGTCCTGGGGCTTCCTGCAGGCCAAAAGAGTACCCTGAAAATCAAGGACAATTGGTGATATACAAGATGATCAGAAAAGTCTTGCTGGATTAGGCCATGTTGGCTCTGCAGCCCAGCATCTATTTCCAACAGTGGCCAACCACATGCCTCCAAAAAGCCCACTAGGAAGACGTAGGGCAGCAGTCTCCTCTGTTGTTTTCCCTAAAGCAATTAGTATTTGGAGGTAAACTGCTTCTGTACATGGAAGTTCCATTTCCTCATCATGGCTAATAGCCATTCACAGATCTCCCCTCCTTCCTGACTTTTCAAAGCCACCCAAAGCCAATTACACAAGTTAAAAATTCCCCAATTATGCATCATGTCCAAAAAAAGGGGGGGGGGATTTCCTGTTGTGTGTCCTGAATCTACTGCTCACCAGATTTGGGGTGACTCTAAATGCTTGCATTCTGAAAAAAGGAGGACAAATGTCTTTCTGTATTAATTACTACTATTTCTCCCTTGGTCCTCACTTTCTAAACCAAATAGACCCAAACAGTTTTTGGACACAATGGGATGGAAAGATCTAATGGTACCTACTGATTCTCCCCTCACAGTCTCACAGTCACAAGCCATACAGCTCCATGGTAAAGCACATGCCGTTTACATAATAAACATCCCACGATCAAACATGGCACCTCTGGTTAAAAGACCTTGAGAAGAAGGGCCTGGGAAAGATCTTCCTCCACCTGGGCCCTCTGCTAGTCACAGCAAACCGTACTGAACTAGATGGACCAGTGATCTGTCACAGTTCAATGCAATTATCTGGAATCTTTCCCGACACAGTCTACAGTGCCGTCCTCCTTCTCTAACCTCAATTATGAACGCCCATGAACTTCTCCCTTCCACACACTTGTTGTCTTAGAACAGTCCCTTGCAAAGTAGCCGAAGAGAACTTCAAGAAGCCCTCCCTTCCCACCCACCATGCTCTTACCAATAGAACCTGGCCTGGTGATGTTTGTTTGCACAGCCCACTCCAGGTGCCCCACACTGACATCCATCCATCCTCCTGTGCCTTGGGAGAATCCTGTCATTCCTAGCAAGACAAGAAGATTTCAGCGTAGCACACAGGCTGTGATCCCGGAAGTCCCTGGTTCAAATACTGCCCGTGCCGCAAACTCACTGGGAGACTCCTTCAGCCTCAGATCCCACCAGGACCCTTTAACCAGCAAGAGGCACGCCCCCCCCCCCAATTGCCTCCTGTTAGGTGGCCCTAGAGCTCGGCTTGCTGAACGTTGTACTGGGGGACCAGACAGGAATTATTCCTCTGAAAGTGGCTACCAGCCATGATGGGGAACAATTTTTTAATATGTCTTATAGTTGCAGCTTGGCTTTCTTCCAGTTTGGTGTAGTGGTTAAGTGTGTGGACTCTAATCTGGGAGAACCGGGTTTGATTCCCCACTCCTCCACTTGCACCTGCTGATGTGACCTTGGGTCAGGCACAAGCTCTGGCACAGCTGTCCTCGAAAAAGAGCAGTTTGTGTCAGAGCTCTCTCAGCCCCACCCACCTCACAGGGTGTCTGTTGTGGGGAGGGGAAGGGAAAGGAGTTTGTAAGCCGCTCTGAGACTCCAAGTGAAGGGTGGGGTATAAATCCAATCTCTTCTTCTTCTTCTTCTTCCTCCTCCTCAAAGAACCTGGAAATATTTTATCCACAGGTACCTGGTTCTCTGTTCTGGACTGCAAAAACTGTTCAGTGCCAGTGGGAAACAGACGTAATAGGGAGAGCTACTTTTGGGGCACAGGCTCGCTACAAAACATTGTGGTTGCTTCCAGTGTGAATTCTATCATTCAAAAGGCCCCAGCTCCGTGACTCCCACACCACATGCTAAGAGAGTACTATTTGTATGCAGTAGGGGTGAAAGGCTCCTGAGAACACAGAATACTAATATGTTAAGTGAGTCTGCCCACTGTATATCTGCATGAGTCCTCGGAACAAAGCAAACCAAGAGCAGTCAGCCTCTCCTACGGATTTGCAATTCTGCTAAATTACACTAGATTTGAGTGGATTAATAAATCACTCCCAATGTGTATATGCAGTAGAACTGCCTCTGAACAAGGGAGACTGGCAGTTGCATCTCTGCATGAGTCACTGTTCTCAGCCATGTCAGAGGGTGTGCCCAGAACAATAATTCAGTGCAGGAAACACAAAGAGTATGCTTCCCTTGAGGACAAGCAACTCCTACTTTACACTTTAGAAATAACCATTTTAGGGAACATGAATGAAACATGCTTTCAGATTTTAATTCAGAAAGCAAAATACGCCTTAGCCATTACACGTTTGGAACTGCTGCACTTACTTGAATTACAGATTATTCATGAGGGCTCCCAGGTTTTTTTGGCAGGAGTTAAATTTCTACACCAAGAAGAGCCATATTTGATATTATACAAATTTGTTCGACACTCAGTGTCATATAACTTATCCCAGTTTGGAGAGACCTTTGATCTCTGGAAAACTTTATTGAGCTATTTCTCTGAATTCTGAGGTTTCACCATACTTACTATATCCAAGGATATCTTCACAGTCATTAGTGCTAGAATTTTATTTTTTTTTAATGAAATCCAAGACTGTAGGAAAGCTGAAATTTTCCCCAATGAAATGTGCTTTTTCTCCATGAAATAATTGGACCCTAGCTATACACCAGCATCCCGGCCCTAGCCTTCACCCAGAGTTCTCTGCTCCTCTCTGCCCAGACACCTGGCATGCATTTTACACTTACCACAATGCTCTTCATCAGAGCCATCATCACAGTCTGCCTTAAAGTCACAGGTCAGCTCCGCATCGATGCATGTCTTATTGTCACACACAAACTGGTCCATGGGACAGGGGCTGTGCGTTTCCAACTCAGGGCTGACAGGAAGCTCATCTAAATGGAACAAAAGGATGCACCCAACTCAAAGAAATCAGCTTTCCTACTGGCCACAGCATAGACAGGGCTGTTCATTTTAAAAAGTTGGGGCTGGCCCAAGGTTTCTGAGGAGCACTTTGCAATCCAGCCAGGACCGGCTCACCTGCTAGGCGAACTAGGCATTCGCCTAGAGCACGCCGGCCCTTAGGGGCGCCAAACTGGACCCGCCCCCCCGGCAAAGCCCCTGAGCCCCCACCAAAAGCCCTGCATCCCCCTGGCCTGACCGGGTTTCCGCCGCCACCGCCACTTCTGACTGGCTGGCCCTAGGGCGCCTACCCTATTAACCTCCTAGCCGCGGCGAAGTTTGCTCACTGACACAGCGGCAGCGGCTGGTCCGTCATAGCAGCAGGGGAGCACACACCCCTTGAGCATGTTTAAGGTGGAGGGGCACGCAACACACAGTGATAACTAGTGGCACTTTAAGTCTCTGGGTTTCACACCACGTGTCTCGGAGCATTTTGCCACCCACCTGGTCGGGCGAGATCAGAGACCACGTGTCCCTCCGGGACTCAGGAGCCCTCCTCAGCCACTGCCACAGCCAGGTGGGGAGGACAATAGCACTGCCTGCCCGCACCCCCCATCCCTGCCCTGCCCAGCCCGGTGGTGCCAGCACCACAGAAGCGCCTGCAAGCACGTGTGCCACCCTCCCCCCAGCAGAGAGAATGGGGATGACGACACAAGAAGCCCCCCCGCCTCTGCCACAGGGGCTCTGCCGGGGTGCTCCTGCTGAGAATCAGGGGAGGGGGGCGGGGACAGATGAGGCTCCACAGACACGGCTCCTGCGGAATGTCGCCTCGGATGCTGCCGGCGCCGCCCAGGAAGGGGAGAAAGAGGCCAGCAAGAGGTCTCCAGGCCCCACCAGGAGGTTGGCATCTGTGCCTTGCCTAGGGTGCAGAAACACTTTGGGCCATCCCTGAATCTAGTTCAACTCCTGCCAGAGCATACCAAAAGGTTCATCTTGTCCTTGGGAGTTCCCTAGAGTGGCCAATCAGCCTACAATAAGAAGGAGCATGGCCAAAGCTTTCCCTGTTCTTGCTGCCAGAAACTGGTATTTAGAGAATGACTCCCTGTGAATATGAAGGTTCTTTTTAGCAGTCTTGGCTAACAGCTATTGAGGGATCTCTCTTCCATTATTTTTTTGTTGTCGTCTTTTAAAGCCACATAAGCTAGTGGCCATCAGTGGATTCTGGCCAGCAAGTTCCACAGACAACTTGATCTCAGCAAAGAAGACACACAGGAAGCATCATGGTGACAAAGTTTAAAATACAATATGCAATGGAAATGCAGAATATGTGCCAGAACTACCCCCTGACAGGGCAATAGCAACAGGGGGCCTGCAAGGGCTCAGCCCACTTATGGAGACATTAGAAAAAACCCCTCCTATATGGGAACTAAATTAATAAAGACTCTTGAAACATATTGGAGGCCCCGGTCACACAGGCCAGATAACGTGGGGGGGGGGGAGAGTGGCTATTTGCGCCGGCACAATTAGACCGGCCAGAACGTGATCAGACACAGTGACGGCACACCGAGGTTTCATCCGTCAGCGCATGCGTGTCAAGGAGGACAGCCGGGGGAAAGCTGCGTGATCACACAGAACGATTCCGTCGGCAGCCCATGACAAACCATTTGCTAGTACATTTGTGGGTATACTTTTTAACTGCGCAGCTTCGGCAGCATGCCACGGGTTGGCCACGGGTGCACTACGCTTGCCAGATGTTGTGGTGTGATCACGCCCTGAAAATCCGCCCAGCATTTGTGGCTCTCCCGTGGCAAATTCGGCGTGTGAATGGGGCCAGACTTAGGTTTTTGCTGCGGCTAATGAACTTAATGAACAGCGTTCCGGGCGCCTTGGTGTTTAGTTATGCCGGCCACATGACCACGGAAACGTCTTCGGACAGCGCTGGCTCTTCGGCTTTGAAACGGAGATGAGCACCGCAACCCTAGAGTCGGATTCGACTGGCTTTCGAGCAAGGGAACCTTTACCTTTAATGAACTTAAAGCTTAACTTCCCCAGTGTATTTTTAAGCTCTCTTGCCTTAAACTTTCTGCCTACTGGCCTCTTCCCCACTCTCCTTCCCCCACACACTGTACTCACGTGCATGCTTTATGCAGCCAGGAGACAGGATCAGATCATCCAGTGCAATGCTCCCAGCATGGCCCGTTCCAATCACCCCCTCAATGACAATCTGAGAGAACAAAACACACCCTGATCAATGCAGGCCATAGAACCCAGCCAGTTTCTGCAGAACCCACCTCTTGGGCTGCTGGCCCCCTTTCCCCTCCCTGGTGCAATTCCTGCAGTTTTAAGAGCTGAAAATGAGCAGGTAACAGTATCCCAGGCAGGCTTGATGTTGGCAAGGGATCGAGGATGGATGTCACTATCTGGGTCCTGCTAGCAGGAGTCCTGTGGCCTGTAACAGGTCGTGGGTGGTGGACAGGAGGTAAGCTATGTGGATCACTGCTCAGCAGGACACCCACATTGATGCTTTACATTGATGTAGCACAGCAGCTAAGAGAAGGCGCTGTGGTCCCCGGTTCTAATCTTAACTCTGCCACAGACTCCCTTGGTGGCCATCGACAAGATGCTCACTCTTAGGTTTGGTTGCCCAAATGCAACATGGGGATGGCAAGATGATCTGCACTAGAGACCCTGCTTTGTCCCCTCCGATCTCTGGAGGTCAGAAGTAGAGACATGAAGGGGAGGGCCTTCTCGGCTGTGGCACCTCTCTTATGGAACACCTTCCCCATAACATTCACACAGCGCCGGACCGGATGGCTTTTTGGTACCACACAAAGAGTTTGGTTGCCCAGGCATTTTTTTTGTGTTGGTGATTGTTGCTGGCTGTATGCACATGCTTTGCCTATCCAACTTCTTTTGAAATCCATTCACTTCATGTAATAATTTACAAGATTTCAATCGGATACAAATAACACTTTAACAAAATCAAAATTCTTATCCTCATCACTAAATAGATTAAATTTCAATTTTCAGTGAGTTAAGAACTATTTCTAGGGCATATTCAAAATTATATCCATAGTTCCCTGAACAGGGCACCAGTCGATGCTTACACTTCAGTGAGACAAGCAATATATATTTTGACAGCATATGTGCTTATTATTCTTATTGAGGCTTCAACACAACATAATTCCATACAATGTAGGCTTTGTCCTCAAGACTAGCTGCTAATACAGTTATCTACCTACCTACCATTTATTACCTACTATTATATCTTGCTGCCTTTCCTTACTTGGCACAGGTAATGCTGCTGGTTCTTTAGCTTAACTAGTTTATTGCCACTGGATGAAGTTTGATTGTGCATGATATCGTTTCTGTATTTTAACTGTTGGAAACCATCTCAGCATTCCTTAAATTCATAGTGCGGTACACAAATCTAGTAAATACTCACTTCTCTACCTTGCAGGGCTCCTGTAAGGTTCACTGGGATGAAAAGCTTTGAATGCTGAATGGCATTGGCATTTTTCTAAGAATGATGATGACTAAAAGCCTTGGATTGGCCCTGCATCATGTTCTCTCCTTGCCTACCTTGAACTCCCCTGACACATTGAAAACCACTTGCTCTCGGAACCAGTAGTTGCTCAGTTCGCCAGTCCGACTCTTGATGAGCTGCATCGATTCTGCTGTTTGATAGTAGATCTTTAGGCTGTTAGAGTCATACAGGTGGGTGTACAGCACCAGCTGCAAGGCAAAAGGATGATGATGAAGAAGAAGAAGAAGAAGAACAAAGAGGATGGGAGCAGTATGTGGAGACAGAAGAATTACCTGTGGGAATGGGTGCAAACAGCCTGTTGGACACTGTTTTCAAATGTGTGCTGGGAAGCCCTTGGTTCCATGGAAAACTATTGCAATTCCCAATGAGAAGGTCAGTAATTGTAGGCAAGCTTCGGGAGGGAGGGGAGCATGCGGACCACTTCTGAACCTTCCCTGCAATGCACAGCTAAGCAGGGAGCTCTCTGTTCTTGCAGGGCAACAATAAGGTGTAACATAGGTGGTCAGTACATCCTCAGGCTGCCAGTCCCCAGGTGGGGCCTGGAGATCTCCCAGAAGCACAACTGATCTCCTGAATACAAAAATGAGTTCCCCTGGAGAAAATGGCTGCTTTGGAGGGTGGACCCTGTGGCACTAAACCCGCAGAGGTCTCTCCCTAGCTACACTTCCAAAATCCACAGGAATTTCCCAACCTAGAGTTGGCAACCTGACGGAGTATGTCACACATATCAGAATCTTCTGCAATGCACAGAGATTCTACAGCTGACAAGCCATCATGGGAAGAGTTCTCTGGAAGTACAAAAGTCAAACCAAGACACCACAGTGGCTACAGTGGTATTACCTGGTTAAAAAGTGGGCTAACCAATGGGCCAACCAAGATGATGGATGAAAGCAGCAAAAAGCTACAGACCCAAGCTAAGAACTCACTGTGCAGGAATCATTGCTGTTTACTTCCAGGGTTGGGCTGATCAGCCTTGCTGTCCCTCCTTGTGGGTTCTGGGAGCTGTTGCTGACAAAGGCAAAGTAACCTGCAGCAGAGCATGGCACAATAGTTAAGGGGCATCTTGGGCAGCCCCCGACCCCCCCCCCGACCCAACAGGCACATTTATCCCTTGCCCATATTCCTACAGCCACCCAAATCCACCCTCTCTCATCTCCTCTCCTCCATCCATTCCAACTCCCACTGCAATGATTTCTTTTTCGTCTACTTAGACCAACTATGGTTCTGCCAACATATTCTCCAAGAGGGACCAGTTGGCTATTTTTGAACCAATACCTAAAATATAATTTTTTTAAAAAAATCCCACCTTTCTTGCAAGTAGCTCAGAATGGTGTACATGATTCTCCCAGCCTTCATTTTGTCCCCACAACAAACCCTACAAGGTAGGCTTAATAATGTGTTTGGCCCAAAGACGCACAGTGGCCGAATGTAGATTTGAACTGGAATCTCTCCATCTCTGGCCTTTTAGGGACCATTTCACAGCATTCTTTCTTGCACTAGAACAGAGGTGTCAAACTCATTCGTTATGAGGGCTGGATCTGACATAAATGTCACTTTGTTGGGCTGGGCCATGTGTGCCACAAAACATAATGCCAGGTAGAAAATGTATAAAGGACAGCAGCTGGTAAGCTCCAAGTTGGTGTTTCCTCACTGCAAGGCCCCATAGGCTGGGAGGGGAGTGCAGAGGAAAACCCACACAGGCAGACTGGAGAGGCAGCAGTGCAGTGCTGGGCGGATGCTCCCACAATGCTTGACTGCTGCAGATGAGGTTGTTCTGCCGTGCTGAAAGCACAATGGAGTGGCTCCCCCCACTTCCCCCCCAGCACTCCCTCCCTTGCATCAGTTGCTCGCGGGCCACGTAAGAACCCTGGAAGGGCCAGTTCTGACCCCCCGAGCCTTGTGTTTGACATCCCTGCATCAGAAAGCATTTGAAGGTGAGTTTAGCTTGGCTGGGGGAGGGGAGGGAATCTACACTGAGGTAGAGACTATCTGGATTATGCCACCTCCCCTTACTCATATTCCTCATCTTTACCTCTCTACAGTTCCTCCAAGGAGCTCAGAGTGGCCTACAGAGTTCTCCTCCAATGACGTAGTTAATGTTTTCAACTTCTTGTGCTTTTAGTGCATCCTAAAGAGCCTCTTATCTCTTAAAGCAGCTAGAGGCTCCTGAGCAGAATATTCTGTTTCGTCAAGGGACACAAACTCCGCAGGACCAGAGGTCCACCTGCACGTTATGCAATTCAATAGAGAGAGAAACAAAAATAGCAGCAACACCAGGGGCTTTAAAACCCCAGCAACGAGAGCCCGAATGACAGCCCTGGAAGGAGGACTCCCCCCGCAGTTTTTTTGAAGGTGAAGCTAAAAACGTTTTTCAAGTCAGATCTACCCATGAAGCAAAATGAAGGGGTAGGTGTAAGAACAGGCTTCAGATGACAGGTGAGTGAAACACTTATTGAGGGAGGGGAGCCTCCCTACGAAGAGAGAACTAGCACGACAGGGAGGCAGATAAAACTGAACCTTCCTTCCTGATGTACCAGTTTCCTACTTGAAAGGGGTTTTGTTTTGTTTTATATCTGGAGTGCCCCTTCTACCATGCACTACGACTAAAATTTCTAAATTTTATTTTGGCTCAATTAGAAGAATATCCTGAATGCCTAAAGATCCTTATTCTTCTCGATAATCCAAACCTTGAGATAACGGAAACTGTTGCTAAATTTCCTCTTGATGCCATTTCTATTCGCCCTTTATTTAATTGATGAGTATACTTACTTGGTAATTCCTTGTTTCTGTATTTTGCAAGTATTATTCTATGTTGTGGTGGTTGTTGTTGTTGTATATGGGTTAGCAAGGGTTACATGCCAATAAAGGTAACTTTGTCTGAATTGAATTCTATCTGGAGGAGCCTTGAAAATAGATCCCTCATTCAGTCTAAAGGGGCAGTCAGTAGTTCCTTTCTCAAGGGAGGATCTAGGCCCCATCTGCCAGGAACCTACAATGTATAGCGATTAGTCAGGGTTTCGAAGCAAGGAAATAATTCTGTTTTCTGTCCAGAAGAAAACCTCTTTTTGTTATGAATCCATGTGCTTCTGAGAAGATTTCTGGTACTGGAAAACAGATTCTGGGACCAAACTCCAGGGAGCAAGAGCATGTGCTCCAGTACTTCCTATTTTCCACAAACCACCCCCATTTTACAGTCCCTTTCCACAGTAAATAACCATCCTTATTTTTTTTCTCCTGTTAAAACGATGATGTAATTTACAAGTGTTGCCATCCTTCCAGAATTAGCTCTTTCACAAGTCCTCTAGAAGTTAAAACCACAAGAACTACAGCATAGAAAGAAGCCATAAAAACACAAGACCAAACCAGGATACAAAAAACAAAACATTTGTTATGTTCTGAGTTTTGCTTAAGCTGTTGTGTTATGGTTTGTGCTGAAATATTCAGGTTCCTCCGTTATGATTGGCCGCCTAATAAAGACCTTCTAGTGGTCCTGAAGCCTGACAGTGTACCCAATCAGGAGGCTCTGCTTAGGTCCAATCAGAACTCACAGAAGTAGCAACATTGTATATAGTTCAGTTATGGACCCATATAAGTTTGAGTGCCGCTCTTTGCAGAGCAGTCCTGAGCTGAGCAATGTTTGAATAAAGCCTTTTATTTTGACTATCATCTTCTGCCTTCAATACTTAAAAACATTCATCAAATAAAATAGCCCTCAGGCTACAAGCAGAATGTCAGTGTAGGACTAAAGAGACCCAGATTCTAATCCTGCTCAGCCATGAATTTTGGACCAGTCGCTTCGTCTCAGCCTAACCTACTTCAGAGGGTTGTTGTAACTTAGTGGGAGGGAGAACCACAGACACCATCCCAAGCATCTTAGAGGAAGGCTGGGATAAGATCACGACAGGTAGACGTGTGCATGTGTCTCCTATGCGCCATGCAGTGCACAACCACCTCTTCAGCACACTGTAGCTGCTGAGGCATATTTTGAACTGATGATAATAGATTGTACAGTGATTTTTTTTTCCTACTCCACATTAAACCTAAAGCTTTAAAAACCGTGTAGGATAGCCTTTATCAGAATAAAACCATCCAGCAGGTAGACTAGAGGCTTCAGCAGTGGAGAATGGGAGGCCCGATTTGCATCTGTGACATGTCGGGGACTATGCAGCCATTGAGAAACTGCTAGTCTAAACCCAAGAAACACCTCACTGCATTTCCTAAACCCACCTTCCTGACTGTTGGTGCTGTGGTCCCGTGTGGGGAAAGCGGGAGACGGGGTCATGTTGAGGCTGGAGTTCCTTGCCCAGGAAAGGGTCTTGTTCTCAGGCACCCAGTCGCACCATCCCTCATCAAAGGAACAGATGCTGACAGAATCTGTATGGGAAGAAAGGGTGGCGGTGTTTTGAAAAGAGAGCTTTTCCATCCCAAAAATTCAGAGCCAAATCAATGAGGGACGTAAGCTTTCATAGGCAATGAATCCCCTTAAAGTCTTAGTGACAAGTGAATTAAGATTAGCAGAGAGCAATTGTATTTATTCAGGTCACACTGGCATATACCCCACTATCCCGCTAAATTCTCTCTTAAAAAGGTAAAGGTTCCCTTTTTCCAAAGCCAGTTGAATCTGACTCTAGGGTTGCGGTGCTCATCTCCGTTTCCAAGCCAAAGAGCCAGCGCTGTCCAAAGACATTTCCGTGGTCATGTGGCC